GGCTCCCTCTACCTCCTTGTCCTCCTGGACCTCTCCGCTGCGTTTGACACAGTCGATCACGCCATCCTTCTCCACCGCCTGTCCTCCATCATCCACCTCAGTGGGACGGCACTCGCTCGGTTCGAGTCCTACTTTACAAACAGCCAGCACTACATCTCTGCAAATGGCTTTTCTTCTCACTGTTGGGTCACCCCAAGGATCTATCCTTGGCCCCCTTCTCTTCCTCATCTATATGCTCCCTCTCAGTGATGTCATCCGCAGACACGGGGTTAACTTCCACATGTATGCAGATGACACGCAGCTCTACTTTTCCACCTCTAGCTGCGACCCCCAGTTCCCTGATGTTCTCTCAGTTTGTCTGTCAGACATCAAGAGCTGGATGAGCACAAATTTTCTGCAGTTAAATGTCAACAAGATGGAAGCCATACTCTTTGGCTCCCACCGACGTCTTCTGTCCCACGGTTCTGACCTCCTCAACCTACCCAACATGAACTTAAAACTCTCTGAACTTGTGCACAACTTAGGCATCAGGTTCAATACCCAGTTATCCTTCCTCCCCCATATCCAATCCCTAACCAGCACTGTTTTCTTTCACCTCCGACACATTTGCCTATCTCCGACAATACCTCACCCCAAAAGCTGACGAATCCCTTGTCCATGTCTTTGTCACCTCTCGGCTGGACTACTCTAACACTCTCCTCCCTGGTCTCCCCTCCTCCACTATTCACAAAATCCAGCTCATTCAAAACTCCGCTGCCTGCATTCTCACCCGCACCAAGCTTCATACCCCGATTACTCCGGTCCTTGCAAAAATCCACTGGCTCCCTGTCACAGAGCGGATCGACTTCAAGATCCTCACTCTAGTGTTTAAATCCCTCCATTCCTTAGCATCCCCCTATCTCTCTAACCTCCTCTCTCCCCACAGCAGTACTAGCTGCCTCCTCTCTACTGGGTCTGGCCTCCTCTGTGTCCCCGAATCCTCCGCTCTACCATCGACGGCCATGCCTTCAACCACTTCTCCCCAAAACTTTGGAACTCCCTCCCTGAACCCCTTTGCCTCGCTCTCTCCTTCCCCATCTTCAGGTCGAGCCTGAAGACTGTGCATACGGTCACCTTCCCCCTCCCCCTGGTTCGGCCTCGGGCTCCGCCATTCTTAAGTGCCCTGAGATACAGCCCGGCATGGAGGGCGCTCTATAAATGCAAGTTGTTGTTATTTTTATTTTTTTTATTATTAATTTTTCTGCAATCGCTTCATGGTTTTGCTGTCAGATGTGGAGTAACAAAATGTCCGTGCGAAAACTGCAGATGTTTCCTGCCTCCATATTTCCTGATTCTGGAAATAACTGGTGTGCTTCCGGATGTATGGTTACATGAGCCTCTTTATTTAACTAAAGGGTGGTGACCCGAGGCTTTTTTAAGCCCATTTGTCATCTTTTGTTTCTGCAATTTGCCTTAAATGCGATGTTTTTCAATTTACCTCGCTAGAATTTGCCTGTGAAATACAAGAACACGAGAACAGGAGTGGGCCATTCAGCCCCTCGAGACTGTTCCGCCATTCTGTTAGATCATGGCTGATCTGTACCTCAACTCCAATTACAATGAAAATTGTGATATGTGATGTGATTGATGATTGCCACATTGCTGAAAATTGCGTTCCAAACTCTTCTTTAATGTTCAACTGGTTTCAGACATCGCTGAAGCCTCCCCACCCCCCATTGTTACTGCTGACCAAGGAACACAGGGTCACAGTGCCACTGCGTAGGGTAACACCTAACCCCCAAATGAAGCATCAGACAGTATCAGGCCAAACCACTGTGCTGAATTTGGAGGGAGGGTGATATTCATACCCAAAATCAGTCAACAGTTTAACAATGGTTTGGTCTGCAATTTTCTGCAATTTTGTACATCACAAATCGCTTGTGTCAATTTACCCCATATTTAGTCCTAGTGTTTTACCTGTACCTGGTAAAAGCAAAGGAGGTGTCAGTCTGACTCAGGTAATAGCATGGTGTCCTGCACACCGATCCTCCAAATAAAATTGGTCATTTGTTTCATGGCTGTTTGCGACGTTACTTTGCCCAATTGTGCTGCCCATTTGCCTGCAAATACACAGTTACTCACAATACACAAATTCACAATTAATCCTGTGGAATGCTTTAAGACGTCCTCCTATTGTGAAAAGGAGTTGTACCAAATGCAAGTATTATTATTAAAGCCCCATGTCAGGTCTTTGAGCTCATATGGTCTACATTGAGATTACAGTGCAGTGCTGGGAGAGCATTGGAAGGTGCCGTGCTTTGGCACTTTCCATCTGTGATGTCAAACCAAGGTCACGTCTGCCTCTTCAGGTGGAAGTTAAAGATCCCGTGGCACAAACTATAACAATAATAATGTAATAATAATCCTTGCATTTGGTATTGCACCTCATCACGTTGGAAGGACATCTCAAAGCGCTTCACGGGATTTACTGTGAGATGGAGTGACTGTATTTGTAGCCAAATGTGGTAGCACAGTAGCACACTAAATTGTCCCACAAACAGCCACAAAATGAATAACCAATTTTATTTTGGGGGTCTTTTTGGCCAGGACCAAGGGAGAATTCCATTCTCTTTTGAACAGTCCCATGGGATCTTTATCGTGCATCTGAACAGGCAGACGGGACCTCGGTTTAACATCTCATCCGAAAGACGGATATTTGAAAGAAAAGAAAGGAGCTTCTCACAGTGTAGTGGCCGACAATCCCCCCAAATAAAATTGGCTGTTTGTGAGACATTGCTGTGCGTAAACTGGCGGCCATGTTCGACAACAAAAATGCAAGTCACTACACTTTACAGTTAATCCTGTAGAAGCAATTTATTTCCAAACCCTATTGGAGCCCGGTTTATTTTGGACAAGTAAAAGCAAGTAAGAGTAAGCATACAAACAAGTGCGTGCTTGGGGATGATCACACACTGACCTCTCAGACAGTAGCTGCCATTTGAATCTGATTAAAAGCAAGTGTACAGAATCACTCTATGACCTTTATCCATTTGAAGTTGAAATCCATGGTGCGCTTACTGCGTTAGCATGCCTTTGGGGTATCTACACGACAGCTGGCAATTTGCTGTTCAGTGACCCACTTCTTCACTCTAGTGTTCTGTAATCCTTCTCCTCTACACTGTTCTCGCTCCTCTCCTTTAAACCTTTCATTTGAGCAGAGTGAAAAGGAACAATTACAAGCTAAGTGTTGGTTTTGTGTTTGAGTAAGTAAGGTGTCAATCAGTGTAAACAGATGCCCCTCTTACATTATTGTAACAATGATACCCACTGCACTGCTGTTTTACAGCGTTAAATTGCTTGTGACAATAGTTCGGCTCATGCATTAAACAAAGCTGGGAATGACATAGAAATTAGCTTGCAATGAGTGTAATTTAATTCAGTAGCATGGATGTTATAATAATAAAATAATAATAATAATCCTTGCATTTGATATAGCGCCTTTTCACGTCTTCGAGACGTCTCAAAGCGCTTCACAGAATATACTGTGAAGTGAATTGACTGTATATTTTGTGAGCAAAAATAACTAATAATAATAATAATCCTTGCATTTGATATAGCGCTTTTCACGTCGGGAGGACGTCCCAAAGTGCTTCACAGAACACACTGTAAAGTGAATTGACTGTATATTTGTGGGCGAACGCGGCAGCCAATTGCGCACAGCAATGTCCCACAAACAGTCGTAGATTGAAAATTACCAATTTATTATTGTTTTGGGTTTTGGAGGGATTATTATTAGACGTGTGGAGTAAGGAAACTTGCCCAAGGTTTCGCCCTGCCTGGAATTGAACTCAGGTCTCTCGCTTGCAAAGTGAGTGCTCTAACCACTGAGCTACAGGTCTCCACAATAATGCAATAATAACTGCAATAATAAAGCGATTAAATAATCCCAAATTAATGTTTTGATTTGAATTCATAGAGAGATATTGGTTATTGTTTATAGTGTATTTTACTTTTCTCACCAAAGTTCCTCCCTTTTCTTCTCCCCTCCCTCTCTCAATTCCCCTGCTCCCAGCAGTGACTCACGTTGGAGTTGCACATGCACTTAATAATAATAATCCTTGAATTTGATATAGCGCCTTATCAAGTCATTGAGACATCTCAAAGCACTTCACAGAATATACTGTAAAATGGAGTGATTGTATACCTGGTGGGCAAAGTGACAAAATACACACCACCTCCCTCCTTTATCTTATCCCCAGAGCTCATTATTCAAGTGCAAGACCAGAATTTGGCAAATTGTTGAATTTGGTCTTAACTTTGAACTTGGATTTCTTTAGTTCTTTTATATAAAAAAAACTTACAGAAGCGCAGCTTTACAGTTTAGGCTCCATCTAAAAATTCTGACCCTCTGAAATCGTAGATAAACAGGGTAAATCTACACCCAGATGAAATGTCTCCCCAAATGAATCCTGGCAGGCTACTCACCTGGAAAGCACAGTTATTCTAGATGATTTGTCTAGAAATGATTCACCTACTGCACGTTAAAATCCTGCGAAGCGCTTTGAGATGTCCTCCGAATGTGAAAGGCTGTATCAAACACAGGGATTATCATTCAGATAGCTGCCGCAGCTACAGTGAGCCAAATAGCCATCTTCTGTGTTATAATCTATGATTCTACTGTGAGGTTGTTATGCTGAGACATAATATAGGCAAGAGAGTAATAAAGTCAATCTTCCTATAAGAATTGAGATTGTGTGGATCCCGTCCATTTAAACCAGTGATCAAAAGTGGGAAAAGTTATTTCCTCCTTGTATCATACTTTACATTTGAGGAATGATTATTGCAACCGCGTTGCAACCGTACAAGCAATCTGTGTGTCTATGTACGTGTATGTCTACGTGTAACCAAACAATTGCTTTTATACAGCACAATCTACACTTGTGTAGCGCCTTTCACATCAGGAGGATAAAAAGGCTTGGTTTAGTTGGTTCACGTGTTCATTTTTTTGTCTCTTATTTCAGGACAGCAGCGAGTTTCTGTGACCTGTCTCCTCGTGTGCCATGGTTTATTGCTGGTCGGAACTAACCTGGGTATTATTGTGGCTCTGCCAGTTCCTAGACTGCAAGGGATCCCAAAGGTTACAGGTGAGACAGTTTGGGTTCAAAGCTTGTTTTGTAAGATTTCAGAACAACACGCACATATTATTTTTCAGCTAAGCCTGCGTGGGGAAAAAGAATCCAGAAGTAAAATAATTATTTAAAACAAAATCCAAATTTGTGTGCCGAAAATTTTATTGTGTATTAACAATAACAACAATTTGCATTTAAATTCCCACTCTTCCCACTTTCAGGTCTCGGCTGAAGACCTTTCTTTTCGACCGCGCCTTTGGTCACCTTCCTCACCCTCCCCCTGGCTCGGCCCCCGGATCCGTTACTGTGAAGCGCTCTGAGATGCCATCCGGCATGGAGGGCGCTATATAAATCCAAGTTGTTGTTGTAAATAGTACCCTTCACGTAGGGTGTTATACAAAAATGTTCACACCCCAAAAAAGCGTCAATCGTCCATCAACTGAAACGTATAATAAATAATAATCCCGGCATTTGATTTAGCGCCTTATTTCATTGAGACATCTCAAAGCACTTCATAGAATATACTGTGAAGTGAATTGAATGTATATTTTGTGGAGGAAATTCAAATACTCCTTTGCAAATTTGATGTGATCACATAGAAAAACATCGCATTTTTCAATGTGAATTGAGAGGACTCTTTTACTCTCTTAAAACTGTTCTATATTCCTAACAATAATTTGTAGCTCCCTTCTTTGGGATGTGCCCCCTCACACAGTTTTCATAATACAGATGTCAACTTGTCATTGAATTAACCAGATTTCTGAGCAATGCAGGAATAGAAATCTCAGAAACTCATTTATGGAGTCTTGTAGTGTATTGGTTAGAGCACTCGCCTTGCAAGAGAAGGGACCTGGATTTGATTCCTGGGCGAGGCAAAACCTTAGGCAAGTTTCCTTATTCCACACATCTCTGTTTAGTTAGCAGTAAGTAGGAACCCAGTTATTAGTCTATTGGCGGATTACTTTCCCTTAAAAAATAATAAATTGGTCACTCAATCCATCACTGTTTGTTGTACACTGCTGTGCACAAATGGCTGCCGAGTTTTGCCCACAAAAAATCCAGTCAGTTCACTTTACAGTCTATTCATATACATTTCAGCAATATTCTTTTTCTGTCAGCTATAAACCTCTTGTCTGTTGTGCTGCTTTCTTTCTTATACTTTGATTGATGTTTGGAGTTCGCTATCCAAATGGCAGTGCTTCTTTGATTTGATTTATTGCCAGTATTTTTTTTGCTGTAGACAGGCACACTGTATTTGTCATGCTACCTTTCACAGCACCAAACACATCTTCAAAAAGGTTCAGTCTCCCAGGATAATTACCACAGTCAGGTGCTCCAACTTCAACACATTTCTCTTTAAAAGGTTCAATGGAATTGGCCACTGTTTTTTCGCAGAACATGCTTTTTCGCAGCTCATTGTTTAGAATCATAGGGGTGAAAATTGCAGTGCTGTGATGTGCTAATTTACACCTGTGGTGCTAATTAGCACGTTAATTGAATATAGTGACCGATTATTATTTAACACATCAACTGGGAGTGCTGGAGGGAAGACTCGCCCCTCCCTCCTCCCCAGAAACACTTGACGCTGCTACATGTCAGCTACACCATGAATTGGATTTCTGAATCACATGTTGTGTTACTGGAATATCAGTTCCCAGGATACTCAATTAACATAACAAAAGAATCAGAGTAAATCTAGTAACTCACTTACTGCTATCAACAACAACAGCAACAAGATTACATTTGTACAGCGCATTTTACATCGGGAGGACGTCCCAAGGCACTGGACATTGTACAGAATTTCACTATCACTACCAAAGCAGAAACTAGTGACATTATCGCTGCAGCCACCTTCTCTGCACGGCCATTGAGAGAGGCTGAACCTGGGAACTTGTTGTTGATAATATTAGTAATAATAATCCTTGCATTTGCTATAGTTCCTTTCACGTCCTGTACTGTAAAGTGCAATGATCGTGTGTGTTTTGTGAGTGAATGTAGCAGCCAATTTGCGCACAACAATGTCTCTCTCATAAATAGCCGTTTGGAGTCCTGTAGCTCTGGTTAGAGCACTTGCCTTGTAAGCGAGACACCTGGGTTCAATTCCAGGCAGGGCGAAACCTTGAGCAAGCTTCCTTACTCCACATGTCTAATAATAATCCCTTCAAAACAAAACAATAATAGATTGGTCATTTTCAATCCACGACCGTTTGTGGGACACTGCTGTGCGCAATTGGCTGCCGCGTTCGCCCACAAATATACAGTCAATTCACTTCACAGCATATTCTGTGAAGCGCTTTTGAGACATCTAGAAGACGTGAAAATGCTATATCAAATGCAAAGATTATTATTATCAGCCGTGGAGTGAGTGACCAATTTTATTTGAGGAATTGTTGACTGGACACCAGAGAAACTACCTTCTCTTTTTGAATAGTGGCATGGGATCTTTAATGCCCACCTGAGCAGTTGACGTGTAAAATATTGTAATATTTGCTGCTTTCATGGCATTTGCTAATTATCATCATAGCAGATTGGCTGCTGCGCTCGCCAACAAAATAATAATAATAATCCTTGCGTTTGATATAGCGCTTTTCAAGTCGGGAGGACGTCCCAAAGCGCTTCACAGAATATACTGTAAAGTGAATTGACTGTATATTTGTGGGCGAACGCGGCAGCCAATTGCGCACAGCAATGTCCCACAAACAGTCGTAGATTGAAAATGACCAATTTATTATTGTTTTGGTTTTGGAGGGATTATTATTAGGCGTGTGGAGTAAGGAAACTTGCCCAAGGTTTCGCCTGGAATTGAACTCAGGTCTCTCGCTTGCAAAGCGAGTGCTCTAACCACTGAGCTACAGGACTCCGCGTACAGTCATGTTATAATATATTCTGTGAAGTGCCTTGAGACATCCTCCCAACATGAAAGGTCCTATATAAAATATAAGGATTATTATATTATACGTATTAATTAACCCCCGGAACATTGCAATTTTTATTTCACAATAACAGCTCTAAGCACTAATAGACAATCGGTCTATTTAACTTACTTGTCCAATGTTGCAAAAGATTCCTTTGACACTTTTATCTCATTTCCTAATAGCCCTGAATCCTTTCAATTTTGAATAACATGCCTTGTTCCTTATTTTGCCAAAACATGTTAGGGTTTGTAGCGGGACTGGTTGAAAGTTACTTGCTGCTTGCTTGGAATTGAAATATCATGAATTTGAAAAGCTTTTGTTTTAACATTGCAGAGGATTTTGCAGGACCCATCTGCATTTGCTGGTGATAATTCCTGTGTTAAATCACAAAGACTGTATTCTCCTGATTACGTCAAATGCTATGTTCAATTGATCTTATTCTGTGACAAGGAACTGCTGGAAATTATGCAGAGTTAAATTCACGTTAATTTTTATCCACAATCATTTCAATTCACAATCGTTGTACATTATAGTTAGAAGTCGTCTTTGTAACGTTCATCCACCACCATAAGTATGTCAGAAATTAGCTGACCAATTTTAAGTATGGTTAACAGGCATGAAATAGCTGAGTGAATCCGCTCACTTAGTGTTCAGTGTCTAATTGATTGATTGCCATTGACTGGGGAATTTGGATTGCACCAAGCAGTGTGAAATATTCAGCCAGGTTCTGAACTATTTTTATGCAATTTACAGTTGTGGGAGGGTGAAAAACATCTTCTATTTTTATCACATTACGGTATCATACAACATCAAAGAACTAGTATTGTTTGGCCCAAAACATTCTTTCGCTATTTTTAAGCACAGAAAACTGCCTTTGCCGATTCATTGACACAACAGTGCCTTAATTCAGATCAAGTTAGGCCATTATCTCTTGAATAACCTCAGAAAGGCCATGTTGTGTGATTGAAATTGATCACAGCTGAGCAAGTTGGTTTTTCAGCAGTTTTTTGGCACTACCATTGTTCAGAAGTGGAAAGGGGGAGAATTCAAACCACATTTTAACCTTGTATTTAAAAGGAAGCTAGATATACCCATGAGGGAGAAGGGAATAGGAGTGTATGGGAGGAAGTAAGGAGTGGGTGGAGACTCATGGGGAGTATAAAAACAGACTGGCTGGGTCAAAGGGCATATTTCCATGCTGTATATTCTGTATAAATCTATTTTTATTATTAAGCTCAAACTTCCAGGAGCGAAATGATTAAAAACTTAACGTCAATTTGATTTTTTTTGCACTGGTTCAATTGCGCTCAGGTATTTTGGGGAAGGGTTAATCTTGCCTTGAGCCATCCAGTTCGTGGGAAACAGACAATCGCCATCTGCCATACCAGGAATCCTCTGATAGGGTAGTTAGTGAGTTAAACAAGATCACATCACCTTGCTCCTATCAAGGGGGAGGAAATACCCAAGGCTGGAGCAGAGTGATTGACACCGCCTGGCCACCAGCACTGAATTTGAAAATGCACTCGCACTGTCAGTGTCAGAAGTAAAGCTATTCAGCTGCAGCTCCTTTATACTGTGTCCTGCCTCCCAGATGTTACCCCTCCCCCAACAGTAGCTCTGAGCTGTAGACAACACTTTGGAAAAAAATACACAGTTCATGGGACTCAATAGATCTCTAATACACATCAGACTACAGTACAGGATTTCTCAAAGACAAAACATTTCAGCAAATAAACTCCTCAAACAATTACAGTGCTTTGTTTCAGACGCAGCACAAAGCTGTGTTTTTGCCATAATATGCGGCACGACCTTCAATTTGGCCACAGTCAGAAATAACACAGAATAGGTGTCTGAATAGAGATGTAATTCTGATCTGCAGGGTGGGAGTTGAGACTTACAACAACGTAAATATATTTAAATCAAATTCCAGGAGTCCTGTAGCTCAATGGTTAGAGCGCTCACCTTGCAAGTGAGAGACCTGGGTTCGATTCCCGGCAGGGCAAAATGTTAGACAAGTTGCCTTACTCCACACACCTGATAATAATCCCTCAAAAAAAGACAATAATAATTTGGTCACTCAATCCACGACTGTTTGAGGGGCACGGCTGTGCACAATTGGCTGCCACGTTTCGCCCACAAAATATAGTCAATTCACTTTACAGTATATTCTGTGAAGCGCTTTGAGACGTCTAGAAGACAAATGCAAAGATGATTATTATTATTATTGTTGTTGGACAACGCCAGGGGGAGGAGAAGCGATGGTTCACAGCGGAAATCGCTAATTGCAATGCAGATTGGCTCCAGGCAAGGCCTGTCACTGACCATCAGTGAGTGGATTGTGGGCGACTGACATGGGTCTAGTTATGGTGCTTCAGAGGGGTTTCCTGATAGACGGAACAGGATTCCCCTTCACTGAGCCCGAGTCTCTAGGTAGTGAATCCCACTGCGAACTGCTGCTATTTTATTGTTTTATTAAAACGCGGTACTGCTTTTACCTAACGATCCAACTGTGGTTCTCTCCTCCTGCAGGAAGGGGGATGGTATCGTACCATGCACACTGCGGGCCGGTCAAATGCCTCACAATGGCTGCGGCCAGCTCCACCTTGGCCAACACGAGCGGTTCAGCGACCAGCCTGTCATCTCCAATAGAAAGGAGAGATGGAGAGAGGAGCCAGCCAGAATGGTCAGGGCCAGCATCCACATCCAGCAAAGAGAGAGGGGTTTGGCTTGGGGACTCGTCAGTGACTGTTGTCCAAAACAGCAACCAGCCTTCATCCTCAGGATCCCAGACATCCTCCCATCATTCTGGTTCACTGGAACATGGCCCTGAGGATAGCACAATATATGAACTCTTGAACGAGCCCAGTCTCTCAAATAAAGTCAAACACAGTGACAGTGAAAGGACAAAGAAGACGAAGATGAGTTCAGTTTTGGTCATCTCGGGAGCGCAGGGGCACAAACGGATGAACAAGAAGTCCAAACCTCAACGTCAAGATGAGAGTGTTTCCACCGTCATGGTTTGGCAGATTCCATTGTTAAATGTATGAGAAGTCAAAGTCTTCATCGGATCCGTTGCTTTCTCGATCCACTACCTTTTTGATGCACCTAATGAGGTGTGCGAGAAATCTCTAAATAACCTTTCATGTTTTGACCAAAGTGTGTTGTAGTTTTGTTACGCCAGCCCAGCAATACTGTTAAATAATGGTAAGATTTAACAATTTGTAAACTCTAAACACATGATAAAAAGTAGGTCGAATTCCTGTTTAAAACCCAGTAATCTGTCCCCTTCTTTCTGGGACGTGATCTTCGAGCCTTGCCCCCTTCCCTCCCCGCCTTCAAAAATGCCTTAAGAACAATATTTTTTGACCTTGCTTTTTGTTACTTTGTTCCCCTCCCCAGCTTGGGTTCTCAATCAGCTGTGAGAGGCGCTTTGTGATGTACACCTGACATGAGAGGCGTGATATAAATGTACATTGTTTTTTGTAAATGTCAGTGATCTCATCACCAGCAAGATCTTAAAGAGCACAAGTCTCCCAATTATTGCTTTGTTCTGGAGAATATCAGTTTGCAGACAGCATTCCACATTCTTCCTTTAGTGCCTGATGGAAAAGCTGGATGGATTTACCAGTAAAACTAAGCCAACAATGAAACACATTCAAAACACTTGGATGGGAAATGGTTTAGATCAGCTTTTTAACAGTAAAGCTGATGGTTCTGTTGGTCCTTTTTTTCAGGGACCATTGTTTGATAATAATAATGTTATTAATAATAATTGTTTGATACTAGGGTATTTTCTCACTGAGCAAAAAGTCAATAGAAGGGGTAATAGAACTAGTCTTTTAATAAAGAGTAGCAAGGTTACAGACAGATTTATTTGCCTGCCAGACAGATTGATGATTCTAGCATGGTAGAGGATGATACTGGTGTAAACTACTGAAATCTATATTTAAAAAAAATGGGTGGCAATTCTTAAATTTTGAAAATCATCCTTTACAAGTAAAGCAGCTAGTTTTTGAAAGGTCTGTTTGTGTTTTGGATGGGAGAAAAAAAAGTAAAAGAGAAGTATGTATGCCGGTTGTGTACACTAGTCAAAGCATATTTAATACTGCTTCGGAGAGTATACAGTACAGCAGTGTTATTTCGGAGGTAAGTTGAAGCACATACTCTGGTACATGGTACTGAAGTTAATGTACTAGTATGGATCATTGATCATTCCCAGAACTGGTGAAAGCTATTGTTTAACAGTAATTGTGTCTCCAGTCACGTACGTTTGCATACAAGCTATACAAAAATAATCATGTATGTTTTATTTCTGTTTGCAATGCGTATGGGGCCTTATTGGTTAAAAAATAAATTTTCAGATTGGGGTCTAATTTGTGATCATTGCAAAACTGGATTTGTTACATCAATTACAACTTCTGGTTCGTGATTATTAGTTTGCAAAACTCATAGAGAAGATCACTAATCCCAATTCAACATACTCTGATGAGAAACAGCTGGTTAGCTTGCTCGGTTAGTTTGTTGTCTTGAGTTCTGCATTTTCCTGGTGACTAATTTCATGACACATAAAATACAGCTTGTTCAACAAATGGTTTACAAATATTGCATTGTTAGACCTCAGTGTGCATGTAAGCTCACAATTATTTTATGTATCACCAAGCAGTTCTTATAATAATTTGTTTATTATCGGTTGTAAACAGTACACTTTAAATGAAATAAAAGTGGAATACTTTGGATACAACTTTGAATGCAAGTGGATTTAAATATTTCTGTTCAAATAGGAAGACTTTTGTTTTCAAAATCAAAAGCAATCTGAGCAATATTTTCAATCAGCTCCCAATAATTGTAACACAACAGATGTTCCTTCAAAAGTCAGTAGTATACTTGAGATGGGTTTCAGTATTCAAATCTATTCAGATTTTCAATTGAATAAGTTTTTTCTTTGTTCGAAAGCAGTTTTCAGCAGTCCTTTTTATGAGGTCTCAAAAGTTCTTTGGTTCGTAGGCTTAAGGTGTAATAATAATAATAATTCTTGTAGTTGGTGTAGCGACTTATCATGTAGTCCAGATGTCTCAAAGCCCTTCACAGGATTTTACTATGAAGTGTAATGACTGTATTTGTACGCTAACAAATAGCTGTGCATAACAATGTCCCCAAAACAGCTATAAGGTGAATGACCATTTTTTATCTGGAGGATTTTTGGCCAACACACCAGGAGAAACTCCTTTCTCTTTTCAAGCAATGCCATGGGACCTTTAACATCCAGGCAGACGGGACCACGGTTTAATATCTCATCCAAAAGATTATCCCTCAGCGTATCCCCAGTACTGCATTGGAGTGTCAGTCTCAGCTGTTAGTTCAAAATTCCAACGTCGGATCCCAAAACTTAAAATTTACAGTGAATGCACCAAGATCATTTTGGTGCATTCAGTGTAAATTGCCTCAAAGAACATTAGACCGTACAAATAATAATATAATGATAATGCAAAATATACTGTCAAGTGAATTGACTGTATATTTTGTGGGCAAAAATAACTGCAATAATAAAGCGATTAAATAATGTGTATATCCCAAATTAATATTTTGATTTCAATTCAGTTGTTTATAGGGTATTTTATTTTCTCACCAATGTTCCTCCCTTTTCTTCTCCCTTCCCACTCCCGATTCCCTGCTCCCAGCGGTGACTCATGTTGGAGTTGCACATGCACCAATAACACTTAATGATAATAATAATCCTTGCATTTGATATAGCACCTTATCACAATGTCGAAAGGTCTCAAAGTGCTTCACAGGATATTCTATATTTCGTGGGCAAAACCATAATTACCAAAGAGTGATATTTGGGACATGTTGCTTATAACATTATTAACTGTTTGTACAGTACCTTTACGTTCCTTTTGACTAGATGGATGTTACTTTCAAAAATATTTATTTTAACATAACTTTTTTACAACTAGAGTAGAAGACCTTAATTATTTCAACCAAAAGATGAGGCAAAGTATGGGGAGCAAGGGGTGATGAATAGATACTTTGTCAAAGATCCCACCTTATTTGCCAGATGTTCCGCTGTTGTTCTGTGCTAATTAACACTTGTAGACATTTTAGCAAATAAAATAAAACATCGACTGATTCCAGATGTGCTGGAAGTGGCCCTCTCCTCCCTCTCAACAGTCACGTCTGACAAGCTGGTTGTGGCCTGCACTGCATTCCCAGTTTGTGAATTATAGCTTTGGACTACTGATTAGTGGGTTTATGCCTTCACTCATTTTTCCTTAGTGAAGCTAGTCCCACTAACTAACATATAGACTGTACAACCGGGAAACAGCTTGTCAATGCCGATGATTATACACTATGTGAGCCTCCATTTCGTCCTAATTCCCTCTCCTATACCTCTGTATTTCCTTCTCCCTCCTTTGTAGGCTAACTGGCAGTGCAATGTTGCGAGCACAAACCATTGAGAAGGATACCCCATGAGCTGGACTGGGAGAAATCTGTATCCTGCACCTCAATGTATTCATGTTACCATAAAATCATTGTTAATTTGTACCTCATGATCTCTTGTGAAATCCATTTAACTCTTACATTACTGGATTGTAATTTTTTTTTGAGCCGCTACGTTTTACCTGTGTGACTTAAGTCAAAATGAAAGACACAAATATTTGTTTTATTAAATCTAATTGCATTTTCCAAGCTTTGTTACAATCCATTTATGAAATGGATTCAGTTGCGATTTTGCCAAGTTTTTTTTGTGCATCAAATAAGACCTTGCCAATTAAGAGTGCATACACTAGATTTTGAAAGTAATGTATACAGTGAAATAAGCCACAAAGAGCAACTAGGTGTACATTTTATATATTTGGCTTCAAATGATTAATCAACCAATCTAGTTATGGTTCAAATACACTTGCACGAATGTCTTTTCAGTCCACAGGCTGTGCTGTATTTTAGAACTCATAGACCTCTTCGACAGTGCTTACGGCCACCTGCCCCCGGCTCAGAGACAGGCTCCACCACTCTTAAGCGTTCTGAGCCACTACCCTGCGTGGAGGGCACTATATAAGTACAAGTTGTTGTTCTGGGTATAAATCTACAGCTCAAAACTGTCCATAATTTGGCTTGAGGTCACATTAAATGCACCTTATTGAGAGGGCACACAGAATGGTAAGCATGAGAAATTGACAATCACAAATGCAATAATTTGTGCTCTTCTGAGGTAAGAGTTAATGATTTTACATTTGATACAGTACTTTACATGTCAGAAGGACGTCTCAAAGTGTTTCACAAGATTTACTGTAAAGTATAGTGACTGTGCAATTTGTGGCCATCTATGTCCCACACATAGACAGGAATTGATTGAGCAATGGGATGATTGTTGGCCAGAACACTGGGAGAAAATCCTTCCTCTTTTCAAATAATGCCATGGGAAGGATTGTTGCATTCCATCTGCCCATAAATACACAAGTTAGACCTATACCTCATTTATAGTTAAGTTTAACTATTACATCGTGAAATGGTGTGCAGGTAGAAATGCCATGGATAAATCCAAATAAGATCCGTAAGTGGAGATGCCAAAAATCTAGGCTCGGGTCTGAAATGCTGGACATTGTACAACGCCTTGGGACGTCCTCCCTACGTGAAAGGCGCTATACACATGTAATGTTTTTGTTGTTGTTCACATTATAACAATGCTGCCCGGCATGGAGGGCGCTATATAAATGCAAGTTGTTGTTATAAACCTTAGTTACAGAAAATAGAACATTTCTACGTGATTCAAACCCTTTCTCCATATTTCATTCTTGGAATTGCATTTTTGTTTTGTTCACATAGCATTTCAAAATTTGAAATAGAAATACGGTACAATTTCTACACTTTTTAAAAAACGAAACCAATTTAATAGATGTGTGTTAAAAATGTCACCCTGGCTCTGAAGTGCAATATTGTACACAAACCCTTTTTGTTTGAATCAGGGATTTTGTTCAAGTGGAAAAGAAATTCACTTCTTATTTGAATCAAAGAGAAGTTGTAGTCTGAATTGCACTGCTGGGGAGTTGTAATGTTGAAAGGCTGATCCAGAACAAAATGACAAAAGGGTCTTGTGCAAGTGCTTCTGAACTTCATATTTCTTAGCCCAGAGTCTATTAGAAAGATGACATGTCTAATATATATTCTTTGTACATTGCATTTTTGGGTTCTGAATAATATCTTAAGCATCAATGTTCATTTTTGTAATTATTTTGTAAACCATTGAAATAACTAACATTTTAGGAGATCTGCTTTGTATACATGTGTGAAAGTAAAACTTGATGTTATATGTTAACTGATTTTCTGAAATGCTGATTCTATTTGCAGTGTCTTTGCATGTATTTTAAAACCATAATTATTATTATGAATAATAATCCTTACATGTGATAAAATGATTTATCACATCATCAAAATGTCTCAAAGCACTTCACAGGATATTACTGTAAAAAATAGTGTCTGGATATTTGTAGACGAACACAGAAACCAATTTATGCCCAACAACATATGAATGACCATCTGAGAGACTGTTGGCTAGGAAATCAGGAAAGACTCCCTTTCTTTCTGAATAGCACCATAGCATCTTTAATATCCACCCGAATCTCAAAACAGGACCTCAGTTTAAGTGCTATCAATTTAGCCAGATTAACACCCATTCTTGTTGGAATCTCTCATTTATATTTTTTCGTGCCTCAAACTGAGCCTATGTTGTTTAACCACAGTAATCTTGTCGGAACCAGAGACTGAAGTTCAGTTTTGCAGCCACATTTCTTATCTGAAAATCACAAGATCAAATTTCTTCAACTTGCTTCTTTTTAAGAAGTGCAAACCCTTCAAGATCTTAGAACCACTCCATCTGTGTTTATGGGAAAACAAGTTCTTCTGCTTTCAATTGATCTAAATCCAAGTGGATTACGACAACAACAACCAAATTACATTTGTACAGCGCTTTTCACATCAGGAGGATGTCCCAAGGCGATGGATAGTCAGTATTTTGGACCCGAGCTGGGGGTCAGGATTGGGGAGTGTGGAGGGTAGGGGGTGGGAGCAGGATGATCGAAAGCACGGTTGAAGAAGAGGGTCTTGAGATGGGCCTTGAAGGAGGTAAGGGAGGGAGTGATGCAGAGGGACTGTGGGATGGAGTTCCAGAGGGTGACTTGGTCACACCAAAATAGTAAATTAAGAACAACAACAAATTACATTTGTATAGTGCCTTTCACAGCAGGAGGACACGGGTTTAAGGTTGTAAAGGGCAATTTCAGGACAGACACCCGGAAGTATTTATCCATCCAGAGGGTAATTAATGACTGGAACACGTTACCAAGAAGGTGATTAATGCCACGTGGGCTTATTTAAAAAAACGCTTGATGCTGTGATGGGAAGATGAAAGACGGGTATTCTGGAGGGATGAGATCAAACGAGCCGAAGGACTTTCTCATCTGAACTAATGCTATAATCTTGTGAGAACATCAGCAATTGCCTGAATTCCCTTCAAAGAGAGAATGTTTGTATCAGAAGCAAATCCCATGCTTTATCAATCCTGCCCATCAAAGTGAATCAGGAAATGCAATACAGGTGTGGCTGTTGCTGCCAGAGATACTTCTTCAAACTATATGAAGTTTCAATTATATGAAGATGAAAATAAGTTATTGTTTATCTGAAGTGTGTTATGTAAAAAGAAAGCTAAACATGCATTCTGTATTTTAAAATTAACAGTTA